TAGGGGGGGGGGCTGTGCGCGGGGGGAGGCGTGGGAAGGGCTCGGCCGCCTCCTCCCCCTCCTCCTCCTCCTCCTCTTCCTCCTCCTCCCCCCCCCCGAGCCCCCGGGAGCGCCCGCAGCGGCACGGCCAGGTCAGTGCGCCCCCCCCGGACCCCCCAGGACCTCCCCAAAATTCCCCCCCCCCCCCCAACCCCAGGAAAGCTGGGGGGGACCCCAGGGAGGGGGGGTCCGCAGGGCACCGTGCGCTCCCCCCCCCACGTCCCGGTCACTTCCTGGCCAAGTTTGGGCGGGGGGGGGCGGCCCCCGGGGCCAGCTCCGGCCCCCCCCGGGCTGCGGCGTTTTGGGGGGTTTTGGGGGATTTTTTTTTTTGGGGGGGGGTTAGGGGGGCGCCGAGCCCGTCCCGGTGCTGGTTTTGGGGTGGGGGGGTGGGGGGGGGCGCGCGTAAAGACGGGCCCGTCCCCTCCTGCTCCCGGCTGCGAAATTGCCCCAAAACAGCAAAAAAAAAAAAAAAAAAAAAAACGAAAAGAAAGCAAAAAAGTGAAATCTGCCGCAAAAAGATTTGGGGTGGCTCGGCCGAAGGGGGGAGTTTGGGGGGGGGGGGATGCTGCGGGTTTGGAAACCCCGCATGGGGGCTTGGGGGGCGCCACGGGGGTCCCAGGTGCGGCCCCCACCGCTTCCCCCCCCCCGGCCTCCCCCACGCTCATTAAAAATGGGACCTAATTAAAAGGGGGCGGGGGTGTTTTTGGGGTCTTTTGCCTCTTGGTGCGCCCAGGGTTTGGTGTTTGGGGGGGGGGCTAACAGGGCCGGGTGCTTGGGGGGGCGCATCCGGCACGCAGGGGGTCGGGATGGTGAGGGCAGGGGGGGCACAGGGGATTGAGGTGCTTTTTGGGGAGGGGGCGGCACCCCCTGGCTTGGACCCCCCGAGGGGGGCACCCACCCTGGCATGGGGCCGTGGGGGGGGGGGCGGCGGCGAGCGTGTCCCCGTCCCCGTCCCCATGTCCCCGTGTCCCCGCGGGATGAAAGGGGCATTGTGTGCCCACGCTGGCGAGCGGCCACGGGGAGGGGACCACGGCTGCTGCTTGGGGGGCGAGGGGCTGCGGGGACCCCCCCTCAATCCCCCCCCACCCCAGGGCATGATCCGACCCCCCCAGGAGCGAGGAGGGTCCCGGTGCCAAATTGGGGACCCCGGTGCTGGTGTCCCCGCGCCACCACGTTTCATTTTTCTCCCTTGGGAAGAGAACTGGGTGGGCAGGGAAATTAAAAAAACACCAAACCCGAGCGCAAAAACCCGGCCCATTTTTTTTATTTTTTAATTTTTTTTAATTTTTTTTTTTGGGAAAGTCCCTGCGGTTTTCCCCTCGGCTCCCGTTTCCAGGAGGCAGCCAAGGAACGAGCCTGGGCCTGGCGGAGCTGCTGCTGCTGCGCCTCGGCGGCACCCGCGGCGCAAACCCCGGCTGCACACCGAGGTATTGGGGTGCCCCCCACCCCGCAAGGCTCCCTGCGCCCCTATTTGGGGGGTGCTGGGCGCTGCCCCCACCCCGTGCGCCCCGAATTTTGACCCTGCTCGTCCTGCGCTGCTCCTGCTCCTTCTGCTCCTCGTGCCGTGCCGAGCTGGGGGTCGGGTGAGCTCCTGGGGGGGAGGAGGGGCATTTTTTGGGATGGGGCAGGTTTTGGGGCAGGTTTTGGGTGGTTGCGTCCGTGCTCCAAAAGTGCTCGGCGCGGTGACCGCGGGGCCGTGCGCCCGGCTGGAGGCATCCCAGTATGTCCCAGTTCATCCCAGCACCTCCCAGGGCCCAAATCGGGCAGGGATTTGTGGGGGGCCAGTGGGGGGATTCTGGGGGGGTGTGTGGCTGGGGGATGTCCCCCCCTCGGTGCCACCTCGGGGGGTTTGGTGACGCCGCAGGGATGCGGTGCCACCTCGGGACCCTTTGTGCCAGGCTGCCCGGAGCTGGTACCGGGAGCAGGGGGCACCAGGGAGGGGTCGTTTAGGGCAGGGGAGGGTTTTGGGATCCCCCCCTGCCCCGTGGATGTCTCTGCCAACCCCCCAAAGAGGCAGAAATTGGAACCCCCCCCCCCGGGCACCTCAGGGGGGAAGCGAGAGCGGCCGGTGCCAGGCTCCGGTGGTGGCTCTTGGCTCATCCCCGTGGGCAGGGGGGGTCCCCAAAAGGGGAGGTGTCCATCGGGGCCCCCAGGCTTTGCCCTGCTGCATACAAATACCCTAAAAACCTCTAAAAACCTCTAAAAATACTCTAAAAAAATCAAAAAATACCTGGGGGCACATTTGGAAGCGCCGCCGTGCCACCCACGGTGCCTGCGCCCTGTGTCCCCTCCCTGTGAGCACAACGGGGGGGTGGTGGTGATGCTGCCCCCCTGGGGGTGCTCGGGGGGCGGCCCTCGGACACCCCAAAGCTGCTGGAGAGGCGGCTCCGTGCATGGGGGGGGGGGTTTGTAAAGCTGTTTTGTGTGGTTTTGGGGTGGAAAGGGGGCGTCCCCGGTGCCAGCTGGCGCTCGGTGCTTGGCATGGGGCAGGGGGCGTTTTGGGGACAGGGGTGCCTTGGGGACAGGGGTGTTTTGGGGACAGGGGTGCCTTGGGGACAGTTTTTTTTTGGCTGCTGCGCCCCCCGGGGCTGGCCCTCTCGAGGCGCACGGTTTGGCACAGGGGCCCCGGACTGCGCAGAGGAGGAGGGAGGAAGAAGAGGAGGAAGAGGAGGAGAAAGAGGAGGAGGAGGAAGGCAGCCAGGGGTCCCGCTGCAGCTTTCACTTCCCACTCGCGGGGAGCCGAAGCCGGGTCCCAGCGGGGTTTCGTGCAGCAGCGGCGGTGCCGAGTGCATGGGGTGGAGGTGCTGGGCCCCCCCCAAAAAGCAGGAGCACCCCACGGGGCCAGGTCGGGGCCCTTTGGGACCATCAGGAGGACAGGGAGCAGGCAGTGGGGCATCCCGAGGGGTGCATCCCACACCCCAAACCCAGCCCCATCTGCGGGGTCCCGGTGGCGGGGGCTCGTCCTGATGGGGCCGGGCATCCTTGGGTGCCGTGGATGCGGGTGGCACCCGGTGCCACGCCGTGTCCCATCCCCAAGAAGGGATTTGGGGTGGGTGCAGCCCCCTCGTGGCATCGTTGGGACCCGGTGGGATGGGGCCCGGTTTCCTGACCTATTTTTGTAGGAGGCAGAAAGTGTGCCAGGCACCGCTGGGGGACGGGGCTGGAGGGGGCCCTGGGAGCCAGCTGGGGCCGTGCTGTCCCCATCCCTGTCCCCATCCCTGTCCCCATCCCTGTCCCCATCCCTGTCCCCATCCCCGGGGAGGGGTGGCCGGGAGCCGGGGGTCAGCCTCATCCGCCTTGCAGCGAGGTCCAAAGAGCTGCCCCCCATGACCCATTTGGCACGTGAGAAACAAAGCAGAGGGGGGGTTTCTGCCCTCGTTTCAGCCCAAAAAATTTCCCTCAGGGACAGCTTTGGTGGCGGATGCAAGACGGAGACCCCAAATGCTGCCCCGCCTGCCTTATATACCCACTCCCTGCAGGGGTAAATGCCTCCTGGGGCCGAGGGACACATCCCTTGGATGGGGCTGGCTCCGGATCCGTCCCGTTTGGTGCGAGGCAGGAGGAAGGAGAGCTTTGGGGCCGCGGGGGAGGCGGGGGCCGCGCGTTTCCCCGTTCGTGCTGCAGCCCAGGGCACGCTTCGCCTTCCCAGGTTTTACTTCCAGCTGTGGGATGACGGCCCCACGGCACCGGCACTGCGAGACAGGGGAACTCAGCAGGGAGCCCCTCAGGGTGCCCCCGCGCCCTCCTCATCACCTTCCTCACTCCTCCTGGGTGCTGCTGGCGGGGGGCCTGGAGCCCCCGAGCTGCCCGGGCCGTGGGATGGGGAGCGGGGCGCACCGCAGCAGGACCACGGCTTGGTTCCCCTGCTGAGCTGCCACCCTCATTTCTGTGCACCCCCCTGGCTGTCTGTGCACACCCCGATTGTCTTTGCACCCCCCTGGTTGTCTTTGCACCCCCCTGGTTGCCTGTGCACACCCGTTGTGCCGTGCACACCCCGATTATCCGGGCACACCCACGGTGCCATGCGCACCCCGATCGTCCGTGCGCACCCCGATTGCGCACCCCATTGAGGGTGTCCCAGTTCTGGGTGTCTGTGCACAACCTCACCCCCGTGCACACCCTGATTGTCTGTGCACACCCACAGTGCTGTGCACACCCCGATTGTCTTTGCACACCCCTGGTTGCCTGTGCACACCCGCCGTGCCACGCACACCCAGATTATCCACGCGCACCCACACCGCCGTGCGCACCCCCATCATCCACGCACCCCCCAATTCTCCTTGCACACCCGCACCCCTGGGCGCACCCCGAGTGTCCGTGCACACCCCTGGTTGTCCACACCCCCCCCTGGTTGTCTGTGCACACCCGTTGTGCCGTGCACACCCTGATTATCCGGGCACACCCGCGGTGCCATGCGCACCCCGATCGTCCGTGCGCACCCCGATTGCGCACCCCATTGAGGGTGTCCCAGTTGAGGGTGTCCCAGTTCTGGGTGTCCGTGCACAACCTCACCCCCGTGCACACCCTGATTGTCTGTGCACACCCACAGTGCTGTGCACACCCCGATTGTCTTTGCACACCCCTGGCTGTCTGTGCACACCCACCGTGCCACACACCCCCCGATTATCCACGCACACCCACACCTCCGTGCGCACCTTCATCATCCACGCACACCCCGATTCCCCTTGCACACCCGCACCCCTGGGCGCACCCCGAGTGTCCGTGCGCACCCCTGGTTGTCCACACACCCCCCTGGTTGTCTGTGCACACCCGTTGTGCCGTGCACACCCCGATTATCCGGGCACACCCGTGGTGCCATGCGCACCCCGATCGTCCCTGCGCACCCCGATTGCGCACCCCATTGAGGGTGTCCCAGTTGAGGGTGTCTGTGCACACCCTCACCACCGTGCACACCCTGATTGTCTGTGCACACCCACAGTGCCACGCACACCCTGATTATCTGTGCACACCCTGATTGTCTGTGCACACCCGCCGTGCTGTGCACACCCTGGTTGTCCGTGCACGCCCGCTGCGCCGTGCCCAGCCACCTCCAGGCGGTTCCCACCACGCACAATTTTGGCAGCCCCGCAGGGAGGAGAGGTGTGGAGGAGCTGAAAGGCAGCTCCAGCAGCTCTGGCACCTCGCGGGCTGCTCTCAGCGAGGAGCACTTTGAGATTGCGATCGCTGGCAGCAGCAGGGGCTCTGAGGAACCTCTTCCACCCCCGGGTTTTGCTGACTTCGCAAGACAGAACTTGCTATCAGGAGGCTGCCCAGGGCCTGGCATGTTTGAATGTTATTTGCATGCTGTGTTTAGTGGCTTGCCCGCCGCCGTGATATCTTGAAAATGAAACAGATTCACCTTCTCAAAGCGAAACCCTTGCTGCTGCCGAACTAATTTGACTCGGCAGCGGTGAAAGGCTGGAGTCGTTCCCATGGGAGATTCTGGGGCCGTGCTGCATCTGGGAGCCGGGGCTCGCTGCGATCCCAGGGCCCTGCTTCTGCTTTTTTGGATGTTTTCAGCTCGCCCGGGATTTGTGGTGGCAGGTTTCGGTGTGAGGATGCAGGAGCTTCCCACTCCTGGCCGGGAGCAGCTCGGTCGCGCCGCGTGAAGCCTCGCTCCAAGCCTCCCACCCGGGTGCTGCGGGGACCTTGGGGACCTCGGGGACCTCAGGCTGGGCACAGCCCAGGTCCTGCTGAGGATTCTTGCTCCGTTTAGGCAGGAAGAGGTAAAAATGAGCTTGGTGTGGTGGCCGGGTTGCCCGATGTGGCACGGGTAAAGGCGCGGGGCACCCTGCGGCACCCAATTCCCACTGACCCTTCCCCACCCACACGTCCCTGGTGCCCTCCAGGACCCCCGTGGCGTGCAGGATGGGGGCTTGCTGCAGACTGGGTGCGAGCCCTGAGCTGACCAGGCCCCCCCCAGGCCTGCTCCTCCTGGTGAGAGGCTGAAATCATCCTGCGTTGGCCACTGCTTCCGTGGGGCTTCGCGCCTCCGCCCTCTCCGCCGCCGGGGTGGGGTCCCGGTGGGGGGGACGTGGCAGCCGTGCCTTGGCCGGGCTCTGCTTGTCCCTCCATCCCCGAAATGTCCCCTCCTTGGTGCCTGGGTCCCCGCTGCCAGCCCTGGGCTCACCGGGTGCCTCTGATGCCCCCGGCCCCCTGATTTCCTCCGCGCGGGTCCCGCGGCGGCTGCGGTCGGAGGCGCTTTGGCTGTCCTGCCGAGATAGCGGGGGCCACTCTCACCCCGTGGGGCCTCTTGCAGCGGTTATTGCAACACGTTCCCATGCACGCGGGGCTTTTAACGGGCGCCTTGCTCTTTCGGCAAGTTCCTTATCTCCGACGAGGCATTTGAGGAAGTCCCCAAGCCCTGCGCAGAGCCCGGAGCGCGGCGCCGAGCCGGGCATGGGCTGCGGGGTGGCAGCGCTCTCCCCACCCACGGCACGGAGCTGAGCCCAGGTACATGCTCCTCGCCCGCTTTCATCCCACCTACGGAGCCCCCAGGGCTCGGGAACGGGAACCTGGGTGTGCCGCCGGGGTCTGTCTGTCTGTCTGTCTGTCTGTCCGCCCTGCCTGTCGGGCTGCAGATGCTGAAAGAGGAATGGGGACCGGTGCGCCAAGCGCTTCACGCCCAAAGGCTCCGGGTCCTGCTCCCATACCAGCCCATGCCAAGCCTCTGTCCCCCCCCCGGGTGACCCCAGCATGGCACGGGGGGGCTGGGGGGCTGCAGTTGGGGTGCTGGGTTTCTGGGGGTGCGTGCCAGGGATCCCACACGGGGCCGTGCCCGGCGCAGAGCCCACGGCCACAGTGGGTCCAAGGGGGGGGCTCTGCTGCTGGGTTGGGGGGCACGCAGCGGGGAGGGCACCTCGGTGCTCCTGCTTCACTCAGTCTGCTCTGGAAATGGGGTAAATCAGTCTGCTTTTGGGGTAAATGGGGCCGGAGAGGGAACAGCGGGTGAGGGGGCCCTGCTGACCCACTGGGGCTGTGGCTGGGGGCGCGGGGGTGTTGGCACGCTGGATGAATCCTTATGGCTTATGGGGTGGGGGTGGTGGGGTTTGCTCATGCTGGCAGCTCCCCCAGCTCCCCAGGCTGTGCGTGGGGCCATTGTGGGGTTTGGGGACCCCCCCCTTTGGCACCGTGTCCCCCCCTTGCTGCATCACCGTGAAACATCGGGCAGCACGCCCCGAGGGGATGGGGGGCACGAGCTGCCTTTGTGGGGGATTTTGGGGGGCTCTCCCAAGGACCCTGGGAGCAGGGTGCCCCCCAGGAGCTGGGACAGGGGGTGCTGGCGCATAGGACGGGGTGGATGGGGTCCCTGGTGGGAGCCCTGCCCGGGAGCTGCATGCAGGTGGGTAAAAGGCACCCAAATTTCTCCCTAAATTTGGGTGCGAGCAGCAGGTCCAGGAGGATATGGGGTGGGTGGGGAGCGCACAGATGAGCAGCCAGCCCCCCTGCTTCACAGCAGAGGGGTCGCCGAGCACCTCGCTCTGGATTAATCCCATACGGTGACCCTGCAGTGTCCCCTGCAGCGCGTTCTGCGTCCCCAGCATGGGGAAACTGAGGCACGGCAGGGGGATGAAGCTGTTGGTGGGGCCGCTGGGGTCCGTTCCCAGCTCTTTTGGGGCCCAGGCTCCATCCTCCCGGCTCAGGGGCCGTGCCTGCAGCCCCAGGCACGAGGCTCCCCAGCTGCTAAATCCCTTACAAAACCCCAGAGGCGCTGCCTAATCGCGGGAGGAATTCGGCTGGGAAGCACGGAGAGGTTTGGATTTGGGTACCGGGATCTGGGGGGGCTCCCTCCTCACCCAGCCCTGGGGTTTGGAGCTGCTCGGCTGTGCCACCAGAAACCGTGTCCCCAAAAAGGGGACGGGGGGGTGTGAGTGAGCTGGGTGCTGCCGCTCAGGTTGCAGCAGCCCGTGGTGTTGTTTCCAGCCGCTCTCCTCTTTCTGGAATTTCCTCGTCTCCCTCCGGGTGGAGGTTAAATGATTCATGGCCCGGGGAGGAGGAGAGGCGGGCGAGGGGGGGGCTGATAAATGATTTACGGGGCCGACACGCGCCGGGGGCGAAGTGCTAAAGAGCGAAGGCGCCTCCAGCCCACGGGGCAGGGCCTGCGGGGTCACCTCGGTGGTGCCACCTCGGCGTGCCAGCCCCTGCTGCAACACCCCCCAGTCCTGCGGGGCACCCCCAGCACCGCCTCGCCCCCAGCTCCGGGTGCTCGTGGTGCCTCCTTCCCATCCCTGTGCGGGGTGATTTTATCCCTTTTGGGGATTGCGCACGGCTTGGAAATGCCAAACCGTGGCCCTGGTGGCTCTCTGCCCCTCTGTGCGCTCCCCAAACCCCCCATTTTTGTGGTGTTGCCCCCCCCCAAGGTGCTCTAGCAGGGTTTGGGGGGCTCATCCCGAGCTGGGGGAGCCCCCAGGGCTTTGCTTTGCTCTCCAAATTCTCCCAGAACCCGGGACCCTCCCCGTGCCCCCGCTGTGCCGCGGGGCTCAGAGCTTTGCGCTTGGGGCTGCGCTCGCCTGACCCCATGGAGCACGGCGAGGACCAGAAAATGGGCTTTCAGGGCTTTTTATTTTTTACATTTTTGGCTGCAAAAAATGTGGCAGAGAGGGGCCGGGCCGGCGGCAGGGCTGCGTTTCCTTCTGCTTTTCCCCCTGCATGGGGCAGGGAGGGAGCAGCCGTGGGGGCCGAGCCCGCGTGCGCAGAGGCAGCGCCGGACGTCCTGTGACAGCGGTGTCACCGCACGGCGTCACTATTTTTAATGCCAGGTGGCTCCTTTTTTTTTTTTTTTTTTTTGCACCAGGGGAGTGTGAGAGGGAAAGTGCCCGGCTGCGTGCGCATCCCCGCGGGGTTTGTGCCTCTGGGGGGGGTTTATTGCTGGTTGTGCACCCCAAAAACATCCTGGGGGACTAAGGGGGGGTCCGTCCCGGTCCCACGGCTCGCTCTGCACCCCATAAAACCCCATAAATGTGCCTTTTCGTGAGCTCTTCACAGCACCACGTCGGGCAGGAGCAGCAGCAGCTGCCGGAACCACAGGGGGTGGAGGGCCATGAGTCAGAAAAAATGTGACTCGGAGGGCCAGATTTCGCGATCGGCGTATTTTTAGCAGCAGGAAATCCTCTGGCTCTCCCCGAGGAGGGCAAAAGGAGCTCCCGGAGAGCCCGAAATAAAGCGTGCGCCGGGGTCAGGCCGGCGGGGGGAATCGGGGACACCGGCGCTGCTCCGCCGGTGGCGCACGGGGACGGGGACGTGGGGGGTGGCAGGGGGCAGGATCTCCCCTCACCGCTGCTCCTGTGGGTCGGGGGGCTCTGCACGGTGATGCCCAGCTCCCTGCCTTGCTCTCCTCCTCGGGAAGGAGCCCCCCGTGCCACCGCCAGCTCGGGAAGGTGCTGGGGGTGCCCGGTGGTGCCGGGGATGGTGCTGGGGGTCCCGGCCCCGCAGCTCCTGTCGGGGGTGTTGGTCAGAGCGCTGCCTCCCAGCCCTCTGCGTGGCCGGGATCAGAGTTCAGGGGTGCGGGAGCTCAGAGCCACCAGGAACTGGGGTGCCGAGGGTGAGCCCTACTTCTGCTCCCCGCCCATGCCCTGCGCGGTGCTGAGCCCCCCGGGACTTCCCGTGCCCGAAAATTGTCCCCGCGTGCTCGGTGCCGGCTCCTCTGCTCCCCGGGGACAACTTCGGGCTCTGCAGGTGGGAGAGGGGCAGAAGGATTTGGGAACGTGGTGCCGGGGGTGCTGAGTCCCTGAGGAACCATCGGCTGGCATGGGCATGGGGGGCGAACTCGTGCCAGGTCTTGGGCTCAGCCCAGCAGCCTGCAGGGCTCCCGGCTTGGGGTGGCACGGGGGTGGCACGGGGGTGGCACGGGGGTGGCACAGGGGTGGCACAGGGCAGCAACCCGCAGCCGACCCCCTGGGCTGTGAGATAAAACACCGGGGGCTCTGTGGGCACGGTGACAAGCTGGGGACAGCCACGGCCACCCGCAGGGGCTCTCCCAGGGGGGGGGCTGGCTCTAATTAGAACCCTCGGGGTGGCTCTAATTAGTGCTGGGGTGCCTAAATTTAGGTGCCTGGGCTGGCACCGTGCCGCCCCCAGCCCACCCCCCCGGCCCCATTTGGGCACCAAAGCGATGCTGGAAGGAACGAGGGGGGACCCCAAAAACCGCCCTGCGCTCACCCCGTCCCTCTCCATCCCCAGGTCCCGCCGCCGCCGTGCCGAGCCCCCCCGGGCGGAGGAGATGCTCTGAGCGCCTCGGGACCCCCCCCCCCCAGTGCCATGGAGGAGGAAGGGGGGTGGCTCCCAGTAGCCGCCTGGCTGGCGGCCCTACACCTGGAGCAGTACGCCGAAGCCTTCGAGCGCAACGAGCTGCGCACCGTCTGGGACTGCCGGGGGCTGACGGACGAGGGGCTGACCCACCTGGGGGTCCTGCTGCCCGGACACCGCAAACGCATCCTCCTGGGGGTCCAAAAAGCTTTCGCCGAGGCCACCACTTTGCCCGAGCCCCCCCCGAGGAAGCCGGTGCCCATGAAGCGCCACATTTTCCGCCCCGGGCTTGGCACCGCCGTGCCAAACGAGCCCCCCAGCTCCCCGCCGCTGCTGGAGCCCGAGGGGGCCGCGAGCATCCCCCTTCTGCCTCCCCCCATCCCTCCCCGGGTGGGCTGCAAGCCCCCCGTTAAGTTCTCCCCGGTTGCCAGCACCCCCGAGCCGCCCCCCCCCTGCAGCCCGGCCCCCCCCGAGCTGCCCCCTCCGCCAGCCCCCAAAGCCGAGAGCCAGGCGAGACCCCCGCTGCCGGCCAAGCGGCACCAGGTGGGGGGCAAATGCCAGTCCCTGAAGACCCCCCCGACCCCCAGCCGCCCGCCCGCGTTGCCCCCCAGGGCCGGATCCCAGTACGAGGCCAGCAGGTACGGGGCTGGGAACTGGGAACGGTGGGTGTTGGGGGGGGGGATGAGAATGGGGAGGGGGCGAGCTGTGGGGTTGCTGTGAGGGGAGGGTCCAGCGCATCCCCTTGGGGGGTTCCCTAGGTGCCTGCATCCCCCTGGGGGTCCCACTTTGGGGGTCCCAATACCCCCAGTACACCCCCCTGGGGGTCCCCACACCCCCGTATACCCCTGGGGGTCCCACAACCCCAGCATGCCCCCTGGGGGTCCCCATACCCCCAGCACACCCCCCTGGGAGTCCTACACCCCCTGGGGGTCCCACAACTCCAGGACACCCCCCTGGGGGTCCCCATACCCCCAGCACACCCCCTTGGGGGTCCATGAGACCCCCACACCCTCCTGGGGGTCCCACAACTCCATTATGCCCCCCTGGGCATCCCCATACCCCAGCACACCCCCCTGGGGGTCCCTACACCCCCATGTCCTCCTGGGGGTCCCACAACCCCAGCACACCCCCCTGGGGATCCCCACACCCCCATATCCCCCTGGGGGTCCCACAATTCCAGTATGCCCCCCTGGGGGTCCCAATACCCCCAGTACACCCCCCTGGGGGTCCTACATTCCCGTATACCCCTGGGGGTCCCACAACTCCATTACGTCCCCCTGGGGGTCCCCATACCCCCAGCACACCCCCCTGGGGGTCCCTACACCCCCATGTCCCCCTGGGGGTCCCACAATTCCCATACATCCCCCTGGGGGTCCCTGTGCCCCCAGCACACCCCCTTGGGGGTCCCTACACCCCCACACCCCCCTGGGGGTCCCCAAAATCCCATCCATCTCCCTGGGGTTCCCAACACCCCCAATACCCCCCCCCCGCTGGTGCTACACCCCCAGCACACCCCCTTGGGGGTCCCCCCACCCTCTCACTCCCCTGGTGTCCCCCCAGCCCCATCTGACCCCCCCCCCAGTCTCCCCACACCCCGTAGCTGCTCTTGTCCCGGTCACTGGTGCCCTCTAGTGTCACTGTGTCCCCAAAGGGGGGGGGGGACACCCACTGGGACACCCCCAGCCCCATCCCAATCCCTGGGGGGGGGGGGGGGGATGTTGAGGGACCCCCAAACCTCTCCGTGCGCCCCGCGCTCTGCGGCTCGCTCTTTGCTGCTGGTTTTTGGGGGGCTTTTCAGCAAAAGTTGGATTTTACTGTTTTATCATCATTTTTTTTTTTGGTTTTCTGCCCAGGTTGGGGCAGTTTGGGGCCAAAAATACCCCGGGGGGGGGCGAATTTCCCGGGGGGGGGGGATTTCCCTGCCCCTCGGTGCCGTGGGCACCCTGGGACGCGGTGGCACCGGGGGGCACCCTGGGCACCCCATCACCTCCGTCACCCCCTCCCCTCTCCCACCTTATCCTGGGGGTGCGTTTGCTCTCCCCCAGCTCTGGGGGGGCTGTAGGACCCCCCCCCCCCCGGCACAGCCCCCGTGTTATGGTGTGGGCTCTGAGCTCGTCCTGCCCTGCAGACCGCAGGCAGCTGCCGTCCCCCCCCCCCGTCACCGTCACATGAAAGCGGCTGCGGTGCGGTGACAGCAGCGTGCACAGCCCTGGGGGGGGCGGGGGGGGGTGAGGATGTGTGTGTGACCCCCCCCTTTTTGTGTGTGTCCCCCCCCCCAGTGGAGCTGAGAGCGAAAGCGGCCCCGGTGCAGCCGCAGAGCTGGGGCTGAGCGGGTGCAAAGGGCTGGAAATTCCCCCCCCAGGGGAACAATTCCCCCCCCCAGGGGGATAATTCCCCCCCCCAGGGCACATCCAGAGCTTGTGCACCCCAAAATCCTGCTTGTGGATGTGGGCACAGCGCTTGTAATTTGGGGGGGGATGTTGGCCGTGTGTGCGCCCCCCCCCCCAGCGTCCCAATGCGCTCCTGTGGTTGGTGAGCCCCCCCCCCAGAAGGCAAAGCCCCCCCTGGGGGACCCCATTTCTCCAGCCCCTGTCCTCAGGAGGGGTGCATGGGGGGGGTCCCTGCAGGAATAATGCCATGGAGGGGGTTTGGGGGGGGGCGTCCTACAGAAATAATGCCATGGGGGGGGGCCTGGGGGGGGTCCCCGTGTGCCCAGAGCTGAACCGGGGCTCGCTGCGGTTTTGGGGACTGTGGTGGTGGCCGGGCTGGGGGTGCCCCCCCCCGCACCAAGGTGTCCATGGGAAGGGCCCCCAGTGGCCCCGGGGGGGTTTTGGGGCACCAAGGCAGCAGGATGCCCCCAAGGGGTGCGGGGGGGGGGGGGCTGTGGGGTGGGCACGCACCCAGCTGTGGGGTTTGGGGTCCCGAAGACCCCTGGGGCAGGGTCCTGGCTGTCCCCCCCCCACGGGTCCTGGAGCCCCGGGGACCTTCTCCAGTGCCGCATGGCCCCGGAAAGGCAGCCCCCTGGCCCCACTCCCCAGCCCGTGTCCCCAGCCCATGTCCCCAGCCCCACTCCTCATCCCGTGTCCCCATCCCGTGTCCCCATCCTCTATCCCCATCCTGTGTCCCCATCCCCGTTCTCTGTTCCCCATCCCATGTCCCCATCCCTTGTCCCCATGGGTGTCCCCAACCCCACTCCCCATCCCCGTTCTCCATTCCCCATCCCATGTCCCCATCCTGTGTCCCCATCCCCTCTCCCCGTCCTTGTTCCCTGTTCCCAATCCTCTCTCCCCATCCCATGTCCCCATCCCTTGTCCCCATTCCAGTTCCCCATCCCCATTCCCCATTCTCCATCCCGTGTCCCCATCCCATGTCCCCACCCCGTGTCCCCATCCGTTGTCCCCGTCCCCACTCCCCATCCCATGTCCCCATTCCCCATCCCATGTCCCCATCTCATGTCCCCAACCCCACTCCCCAACCCTGCTCCCCATCCCATGTCCCCATTCCCCATCCCTTGTCCCCATCCCGTGTCCCCATCCCCTCTCTCCATCCCATGTCCCCATCCCGTGTCCCCATCCCGGTTCCCCATTCCCCATCCCGTGTCCCCAACCCAGTTCCCCATTCCCCATCCCATGTCTCCATCCCATGTCCCCAACCCCACTCCTCATCCCGTGTCCCCATCCCAGTTCCCCATTCCCCATCCCGTGTCCCTATCCCAGTTCCCCATTCCCCATCCCATGTCCCCATCCCGTGTCCCCATCCCATGTCCCCATCCCGTGTCCCCATTCCCCATCCCGTGTCCCCATCCCAGTTCCCCATTCCCCATCCCACGTCCCCATCCCGTGTCCCCATCCCATGTAAAACCCCGTGCCCCCTCCCCGTGCCCCCACCCCTCTCCCCATCCCCGCAGCCCCCCCGGACTCATCCTCCCCGCCGGGAGGAAGCGAGGCCCTCGAGGCCCCTCGCGGGGCTGTGGGTTTGGGGCCGGCCGCGGCCGCTTGGGGTGGCTCAGGAAGCTTTTTGTGCGCAGCGAGCGCCGAGCAGGAAGTGCTCGGGGGGCGGCCGAGCGGGCCCAGCTCCGCTCCCCGCCATCGCCTCGCCCCACGGCGCCCAAATCGCCCCCCCCCCCGGGACCCCCCCACCCCAACCCAGGTAGGGGCACGGGCACCGCCGTGCGCATGGCGAAGCGCAGCCTCGGTGGTGGAGGGCGGGGGGGGGTTTTGCACAGGGGACAGAATCACGGAGCTTCCTCTTCTCCAAAAGTGGGAATTTCGCCTCCTTTTGCGCCTTTTCTGAGTTTTCCTGAGCCCACGGTTTCGCTCTGGCTCGAGGGATGGGGGTGAATTTGGGGTGGAGGAGGGAGGGTGGCTGCGCGCAGGGTGCCGCGGTGCCGCCGGGCTTTGGGGTGGCCACGGCGCCCTCGGGCACCCCGGCAGGAGGAGAGGACCCCGGTGCCAGGCAGGGGACACCATCCTCTCCTGACCCTTTTTGTGCGTCCTCACCCTTTTTGTGCCTTCTGACCCTTTTTGTGCCTTCTGACCCTTTTTGTGCGTCACCACCGAGGTGGTCGGAGCCTGAGTGCGCGCTGACACCCCCGGGGGGTGATGTGGCTGCGTCGCCTCCTGCTTTTTGTTTTGCTTTCCTCGCAGGGTCAGTTCCTTCCCCTGCGCCCCGGGGAGGTGGGGACACGTCCCCAGGGTGCCACGCTCCCCCTGTCCCCCTGTCCCTTCCCCTTTGGGGCCGCCCGGGTGGCACCAGGAGGTGCTCGGGTTGCTTGGGGCGCTGGGGAACTCCCTGCTGCAGGGTTTTGGAGGCGTTTTGGAGGCTGTGAAGCTCCGAAAGCACCAGCAGCGAGTGGTGGAAGGGTGTTAAAGTGTCACTGCCACGTTGGGGACCCTGAGCTGTGGGAATGGGTCCGGTGTGGGGACAGCTGGGCCTGGCCAGGCTCCGACCCACTGGGACAAACTGGTGGTGGCGTGTCTGGTGATGGAGAGGACGGGAACAGGGACAGGGACAGGGGCAGTGACAGGGACATGTCCTCACCATGGCCTGGTGGCTCCAGGAAGGCTGACAGGAGCTGTTTCGTGCCACCATGGGTATTGGGACACCTCCTGACCCCCGTGCTGCCCCCAAATTCCCCAGGACACCGATACCCGTGGGTCCCCAGCGCCCTGTGCGCCCTGCTGCCCGTGCCGTGTGCGCGCCTTTACGCCTGGAAATCCTCCGTGCACGCTTGGAGCTGAGGGCAGGGAGGTGCTGGGTTCCCGTGGTGGCCGTGCCCGCTGCAGGGAGTGGTGTGGCACCCGGCTGCAGCGCCCTAAAAGCACCCACGGCACCCACGCACCCACCCGGCTCCTGGGGCTGGGGGCCCCGCTGGTGCCGGGTTCCTACAGAGGCCACACGCAGCAGGGTGTGGGTACGGTGACACCGGGTTCCCGTAGACGTGACGCACAGTGGGGTGTGAAAACCAGGTGCTTGGTTCCCATCGTGGACGTGCACAGCAGGATTTGGCCCCGTGCTGGGTGTCCGTGGGTGCCTGCCCCCCCCCTCCGGGTCCATTTGGCACTGGTGCGGACTGGGGGAGCTGGGGACAGCCCCTGCTCATGCGGGTTTTGGGTGTGGGGACCCCGAGGTGATGGTTGTGTGGGGTGGATGGGGAGTGGGGTGTCAGAGACTTGCTTTGGGGTTTGCTGTGGACCCCCACGGCTCAGAACTTTGGGTCCCAGCCCCCGGTGCCCTCCCCTGCCCCACAACTGGTGGTGCCCTGAGCTCGGTGAGCACAGGGGTCCCCAGGGGCGTGGGGACCCAAAGCAGCGGGGTGATGCTCCCCCCAAATCCAGGGGGGCTTCTCCACGTTGGATCAACGCTTGCAGCGGGCTGGGTGCTGCATTTCCGTGCCGGGGGGGGGCTGTTTGTGCACGTCTGGGCGATGCCTCCCCAATTCGGGGTGGGGGTTCCCCCCCCATCTGGGTGCTGTCCCCTCTCGCCGTCGGGCAGCGACCCCAGCGCACGGCTCCGTCCCCAGCAGCCACGGCTCCGGGAGGGGACAGCCCCTCCAGGGGGACATTTGGGTGTCCCCACGATGGGTCTGGGGGGGACCTGCTGCCTCCCCAGCCCCCCGGTGGGGCTGTCTCTGCTCGGCTGCCCGGCATTTTGGGGGTGCAGCCGCTCGCCCCGGCTCCCCCTCTTCCGGCAGCGCCGCCGTGGTCCCCGGCACTTCCTCCCGCAGGGCACGGCCGCTGTGGGGCCGTACCCACACCCTCCCCGACCGACCCCCACGGAAACGGCCCCGGGGGGGGTGGCAGGGACACGGTGGGGGGCATTTTGCAGAAGTCACCGGGGTGCCAGACCCGGCGGGGGGGGGTGAGCTGTGGGGTTCCGGAGGGCTCCAGGTCTGCCGAGAGCGAGCGTCGCGCTGCGGTTTCCTCCGTGCTGCTGCTGCCGCCCTCCAGCCAGCTCTGTGCCCCCCACCGTGCCCCCCCCCTTGAGCCCTGCCAGGTCACCCCCAGCCCTCCTGGGTGCCACTGTCACCCCCAGAGCTGCTGGGTGCCACCATCACCCCTTGGTGCCACCGTCACCCCCAGCCCTCCTGCGTCCCGTTTGGGGACCTCGAGAGGGGCGAGCGGAGGGGCTGTGCTGGGGGGGCACCCATGGGGACGGGGGGACGGTCACCTCCTCGTCCCCGAGGGATGGAGGAGGGCAGGGAGAGATGGCTGAGGAGGGGGCATTGCTCTGGGCTGTGCCCCCTGCTTGTGCTGGCATGGGGCAGCGCGCACCCTTTGGAGACGATGGGGGTCCCGCTGCGCTCCCCGTGCGGGGTCGCGAGAGCTTCTGACGTTTTTTTTTGGGGTTGGGGAGCCCCAGGGTGTCTCTGGTGCTTTTGCAGCTTCTCCTCTGGGTGTTTTGGGGAACTGAAACGTTATCAGTGCCGCGAGGACGCTGCGGCTGCCCGCTGCTGGCCTCGTCCCGTGAGCCCCAGGGGGGGGCCGCGCGGGCAGGAGCGGGTGACAGCAGGAACGGTGTCCTCCCAAAGTGTCCTGAGGTGTCCTTGGCGAGGAGGCAGTGCTTGTCCTTGCCCGTCACGGTGTGAAACGACAAGAAATGGGACAGCCTGGGGGCTTTGGGGAGGCTTGGGGACTTCGGGGAGGTGTGGGGACCTCGGGGAGGTGTGGGGACCTCGGGGAGGTTTGGGGACCTCGGTGCCATCGGCTCGCTGCTGGCATTGGGGTCACAACAGAGCCCATGGGGGGCCTGGAGGCCACTCAAGTGCCCCCCTTAAGCTGTGACAAACCCCCTGTCACCTCCCCGCCCCTGTGTCCCTGCACCCCTGGCGGTGCCGGCAGTGGCACTGGGAGCTGCGGGAGGACTGGCCCCCGCTCCCCTAATGTATGGATGGTTGTGGCGGGTTCCCATGGCAATGCTGCTGAGAAATGAGGTCAGCCTGACCCCGCAGCCTGGCAGCCGAGGGACAAATTTGCTCTGCGAGGCTCCGGGAAAGCTCCCGAGCACCCTGGGTGGCACGGGGAGGGCAGCTTGGGGACCCGGCGTGGCCGTCCCCGGGGTGCGCTGGGTGCTGGGAGCAGCCCGGGAGGTGCTGAGCTTTCTCTGTGTAACTGCTGGGATTTGGTGCTTGGGGTCTGGATCCTGCCCAGACGCCCCAAATTGGGGTTGCAGTGCAGGTGCAGGGCTCATGGATGGGGACGGTGGCCCCAGTGCAGGGCTGGGAACATCTCTGGTGGCACCCGTGGCTTGGCAGCACCCACCCTGGGCACCCGTCTATTTCCAGCACGGGCTGTCTGCTCCCCCCAAAACCTCTTCAGTGAGCGATTTGGAGTGGGGCTGGGAATAAAACAGCCCCAAAAACTGCCCCAGGGTCTGCGAGGCTGTGCCCTGGGGCTGTGGAGGGCTGGCATCACCGCCACCAGAGCCCCCTGGGTGTGGAGCTGAGTTTTTCACCCCAACGCATGGGGCTTGGGCTGTGATTCTCTGTGGGATGGCAGCCCCATGAGATCCCCCTTTTGCCTTTACGCCGTGTTTGGTGCATGACTTTTGCACAAAAACCCATTCCTGGTCCCCCTCCGAGCGCACTCCCCGTGCCACCGGCGCCCCGTGGGGCTGCGGGGCCGTGCCGAGCCTCCTCCCTGCTCGCCCCCCCCCTCCGTCACTATGGGGCCGCTCAATCAGGTCCCTTTTATATTTTTACACCCGGCAGGAACTTCCCCTGATTTCCTGCCCCCAGAAGCACTGCGCTTCGGAGGGCTTCGTTGCGTTTCTGCCCGCCCGCAGTGGCTGGGGAGGCAGGAAGCGAGCGGAGAACGGCGGGGACGGGCGAGGGGCAGCCAAAATCGGCTGGTTTTGGGGAGCTTGGGGGGGCTCCAGGTGGAGAGCTGGGTGCTGCGAGCTTGGGATCTGCATCCTCTGGGTCCCCTGGGACCCAGCTCCAGGGGACAAAACACCTGATAGGGGACCGGGCTTCAAGGCTGGAGGCGGCCCCTGGTGTCCCCGAGAGCCCGATAAGAAACCTGAGCTGCGAGGGAGGTTTGGGGCCGGGTGCCAGGAAATCCTTCCAGGCCTGAAAAGCGCCGCCATAGCCCGCGCAGGGTGAGGCCTCCGCCACGGGAAGGTTTTGGGGCTCGGAATGGGGTCGGTGCTGTAAAAGGGGCTCTGGTTTTGGGGCGAAAATGGGTGCAGGAGGGTCCGTGGGATGCCCGCGGTGCCGTCCCGCAGCGCCTGCTCCTGTCTCTCCGCAGCGTTCCTGCCAAGGAGGAGGTCCCCGTCCCCGTCCCCATCCCCGTCCCCGTCCCCGACAGGGAGCCCCCTGTCCCCCCGTCCCCTCCAGCCCTGCTGCCCCGTGCCAAGCCGCAGCCGGCCCCGCAGCCCCAGCCGCCCTCCGAGCCCTCCTGTCCCTTCGTGCCCGAGTTCGGTGAGTACCAGGGGGTCCCCAATCCTCCTCTGGGACCCCCGGCGTGGTGTGGGGTCCCTCTGGGGCATAACCTGGCAGCTGGGATGATGAGCAGGGGAACAGAAAAGGGTTTTGGGGAGAGCCCTGGGCCCCCCGGGGCAGCTCCTGGATGGGGCGAAGCCACCCCCCAAGCGGTGCCCGGGGGTCGTGGCGGTGCCAGGAGCTGCCCAGCACCTTCTGCTTGCCCTCGCAGATGACTCTGACTACGAGGACCCCGCCTGGGAGGAGGAATTAGCCAGCCCCGCGGGGCAGATGGCCGACAAGGTTGGTGTGGGTGCTGGAAGGGGCTGGGGAGGCGAGCAGGGGGCGTGCAGGGACACCCCCATGGTGGTGCTGGTCCTGGGTGGGTTTTTGGGCACGGCTTGGGGTCGGGGCGGAGGGGCAGGGTGCTCTGCGAGCCCACGGGGCTGCTGGTTCACCCAAATGCAGCCTCCCTGTGGGCTGGTGTGCACAGAGTGCGTGCTAGTGGACGGCTGCAGCATCGCAGCCAACATTTATTGCCTGGATTTGGGATTTTTATCCGCCACGCGCTGAACTCCTGCGGGTCTGGGCTGATTTTGGGGGCTGCGGCACGCTGAGCACCTGGAGCCCTCACCATCCTTTTCCTGGTGATGTGCACTGCCCTCCCCTGGCCCCAACCGTGCCACCCCCTGCCCGGGGGGGTTATCCAGGACCATCCAGAAGCACCACGGCACCTCGCAGAGCCTCGGGCACCGCTGGAAGCTGCAAAAAAGGGGCGATGCAGGCGGTGCCGCCGCATTTTGCGCCCTCTTTCCCTGCCTCTCCATGGGCATCCCTAGCTGGTGGTGGTGCTGCGAGCTGCGGGGGGTGCTCAGCACCCTGCTGGGTGCAGGGGGTGGCCGGAGGGGCTCAGCCCCCCCCCCCAAAACGCCCTGGTGTGGAGCAGGGAGGGCGCAGGGCTGCCGGTGTCACCCCCGTGTGTCCCCGCAGGAGGATGCTGAGGCCGTGACGGGTCGGCCGCGGTCCCTGCGCTTCAACAGCCTCTTCAGCGAGGACGAGCTGATCGAGGACTACTACGATGCTCCCCCGGCCAAGTAGGGGCTCCTCCTGCCGCTCCTCGTGTGCGTGTTCACGTCTGCCTGCCTGCGGCCGTGCCAGCGTGCGCGGGCAGGGGCTGTGCGCGGCGCCGTGCGGGCAGGAGCGCGCGTGTGCGAGGCTGGGGGGGGGGGTGCGTGTGAGGGGCTGTGCGTGCACAGGGGGGCTGTAAATATTCAGGGGAGGCTGTAAATATTCGGGGGAGGCTGTGAACATTCGGGGGAGGCTGTAAACATTTGGGGAGGGGGTGAAAACATTTGGGGAGGGGGCACTCGCCTGGGTGCGCGCGCCGCTGGTGATGCCCAAGATGCGTGCGCGCACAGGGGGGTGCGCACGGGGGTGCACGTGCACGCCAGCATCACTCCATACCCCAGGGTGCTGGGTGGTGCAGGGGGGGCCGTGCCCACCCCCTCACCATCTCATAACCCCCCCCCTCTGCTTGGCTCCCGCTCCCCAGCGCAGGCAGAGGCTGGAGCGACGACGGCCCCAGCCCCGGTGCGCTCGGCGACGGCATGGAGCGCTCGGCCACCCCGCAGCTCTCCCCCACCATCCGAGCGGGGTGGCTGGACAAGAACCCACCGCAGGGGTGAGTGAGATTTGGGGTGCAGCCCCTCTGCCCTCCCCGTGCTGTCCGTGTCACCCCCTTGCTGTCTTTTTCCCCCTTGTGGGTCCTGCTCGCTGGGGGAGGTGGCGCGCTCTGGTGGAAAGGGGCACCTGCGGCCACCTCCTGCCTCCTGGTTTGGGTTAAAAGTGGCTGGTTTTAGTGAAAGGCCCTTTTTCCGAGGTGGTGCACTGAGCTGGCTGAGGAGGAGGAAGGAGGGAGCTGGGGGGAGGAAGGAGAAGCACGAGGGGAGGCTGGATGAGGGGAACGGGGCTGGGGAGCGGGATGGGGGCTGCGGCTCTCCGAGCGCTGAGCCTCGCACGTCCCGGCCTGACTTTGCAGCTCCAGCTTCCCCCTGTCCAAGCACTGTGGGGTCGGGTTTTTGGGAAATGAGCACTGCTCGCTCCGGGGAAGCCCTGGGGGTGGCAGCAGTCCCGGAAAGCTGCTGTCTGGGGGAGAAGTGGTGGCTTCAGGCTGCCTCGCGCCACCGGCACGGCTGTCCTGGCTTCCCCACAGGGCTCAGATTTTTATTTTATTCACTGAGATCTCTGCAGGAGGCTTTTCTGGCAGCGCTCCTGCTGCGTCCACCTGTGGGTTATTGGGGGATAACACCCAGGGGCACACAGACCTCAATAAAGTGGTTTGTGTGCCAACCCCTTACCGCGGGGCTCTGCGCCCCTGCACTGCGCCCGTGGGACCCACGGGGTGGCACGGGGAAGACTCTGAGGGAGCCCCGGGTCCCCCACCTGCACCTTAACACCAGCCACGAGGAAACCCCGAGGCCTGAATCCCCCAGGGAGGAGGAACCCGGGGCTGGTTTTGGGGAAGTGAGAGCCGCGCAGAGCTCCCCGGGGAGCCGGGGGGAAGCTGCTCCCTGGGTGGGGAGCCGGAGCCTGGGGAAGGCACTGGAAGAAAAACCAAAAAAAACACAAATGCCTAATTCTGAGTGCCTAAAGCCAGCCGGGAGGGCTGAGGGGTTTCTGCGGGATGGAAATTGGGAACGGGAGGGCCGGTGGAAGAGCCCAGAGCCTCAAGAAGGATTTCCTCCTTCCGTAAAGGCCGAGCGCGGCGGGGTCACGTGTGGCGGTGCTGAAATCCTTTCCTGAACAAACAAGCGCTTAAGCAACAGCCCACGAAGCTGGGGGGGCACCAAGGGGGCTCCCGGGGCTTTGCCGGAGGCTTTTGGGGGGGTGCCAGGGGGCTCCGGGGTGTCCTGTCCCCCTGCACCCCCAACCCGGTGATGGTGATGCGCACCGAGGGCGCAAAGTGCCCAGGGGGGCCCTGCAGGGAACGGGGACGCCACCGACCCGGGGGGGCTCTGGCAGCGATTGCTAATTGGGGTCAGCATCTCACGGGGTGCTTTTAGGGGCAGCCCCCCCGCTCTCGGCTCGCAGGAAAGCACAAACCCTCCCCGCTCCCCCCCCGCTGCTGCCACCAGGGTCGATGGCGAGGTGGCCCCAGGCTGTCGGCAACTGGGGCGTGAAGGCACAGGCGGAGAGGCCCCGGGTTCAAGGGCACATGGGGGGGATTTGGGGGGGGCTGAGGGCGCTGCTGCAGCCGGGGGCTCGCCTCCTTTCTGCACCCAAACCCACGCAGGGGTCCGCGTTGTGTTGGGGTCCCCGTGCCCGACCTGTCCCGGCCCCCTTCGTGCTCCCATCTGGGTGCTCCCCAAGCCCTCCCGGGGTGCGTTTTGGGTTCCCCCGTCCCCTCCAACGCGCCCCTCCTGTCCCTCCCCAGCTCCTACATCTACCAGAAGCGCTGGGTGAAGCTGGACGCCGATTACCTCCGCTACTTCGACAGCGAGAAGGTGAGGGGGGAGTTGTCGGGGGGGGGCACCGAGCCCCCCACGGCATCCCTCTGGGCGCCCTGGTGGCACGGAGGTGCCAAGGGACAACGTCCCCGGCGCACCACGGGAGCGAGGTGCCCCAAACCCCAGCCTGGGGTCGTTCCCGACCCATCTCCGAGGCGGTGGTGGTGACGGTGCCTCTCTCCCCCCACCCCGTGTCCCCCCCCAGGACGCCTACTCCAAGCGCTTCATCCCCGTCTCCTCCATCTCCCGCGTAGCCAGCGTTGGGGACCAAAAATTCGAGGTGGTCACCACCAACCGCAACTTCGTCTTTCGGGCCGAGAGTGACGGTGAGCGCTGGGGGGACACCAGCCCCGACCCCATTTTGGGGCTGCTCCCCTCCTCCTGGCAGCCCCCTGGCCCTTTGGATGAGCCCCCCCAGCCCCAGCCCTGACCCCTCTGTGCTCCGACCCCGCAGCCGACCGCAACGAGTGGATGCAGACCCTGCAGCAGGTGGCGGAGGAGCGCAAGGGGAAAGCTCCGGAGAGGACCCCCGTGCCCCCAAACGCCCCCGATGCCACGGAGCCCGCGGATAAGAGCGGCTTCCTGGAGCTGCGGGGCTTCAAGCACAAGCTCTTCGTGGCCGTGGCCGGGGACAAAGTTTTCCTCTACAAGAACTCGGAGGTGGGTGCCGGGGGTGCGCTCTGCATGGGGACCCCCACCCATCGTTTTGGCAGCCGGGGTAGAGCAGCAATGAGCTGGGGCTCCCCAAAATGGGGAGGGGAGACCCCAAGGGTGGCAGACCCCAAGCTGCAGACCCCCCTTAATGGGATTTGGGGACCCCAGGAGCATTGCACCCACTGGGTGCAATGGGTTGGTGGCGTCTCCAATTGGGTTGGTGGCGTCTCCATCCCAAACCTTGAGCGCCCCGGGGTTGGGGGTGTGCGTGGGGACCCCTGGGGGGGGGAGGCGGCCCTCCCTCACCTTTCCGCCCACCCCCTCCCCACTCGCCCCCCCAGGACTACCGGCAGGGCATCGGCATCACCTACATCGAGATGAACGTGGGCAACGTCAAGGAGGTGGACCGCAGGGGCTTCGACCTGACGACGCCCTACAGGATCTTCAGGTGAGCAAAGGGAGGGGGACAACGGGGTGCCCCCCAGCCCCCTCCTCCCCTCGGCCGTCCCTCCCTCACCCCCTCTCCCCGCCTGCAGCTTTTCGGCCGAGTCGGAGCAGGAGAAGGAGGAGTGGGTGGAGGCCATGCGGCACGCCATCGCCGAGGCGCTCTCCAACTCGGAGGTGGCGGAGAGGATTTGGGCGCTGGAACCCAACCGCTTCTGCGCCGACTGCGGCTCCCCCCAGCCCGACTGGGCCTCCATCAACCTCTGCGTCGTCATCTGCAAGAGATGTGCAGGTAACGCCCCCCCCCCCCCCCTCTCAGCACCCCGGGGTGCTGCGTGCGCCCCGGCACCCGGCCCCTCTCCAAACGGCACCCGGCATCGGGGAGAGGGGGCTCCCCAAAACCTCCCCTGCTCGGTCCGTGGTGCAGCGCAGGAGGGTTTGGGGGGAGAGGGGCACGGCTCTGCGCCCCCCCTGACCCCAAAGGGGGGTCCTAACGGCTCCTCTCACCCCCCCCCAGGGGAGCACAGGGGCCTGGGCCCTGGCATCACCAAGGTCCGAAGCCTGAAGATGGACAGGAAGGTGTGGACGGAGGAGCTGATCCAGGTAGTGGCACGGATGGGCTCCGAAATCTGCTCTGGGGGCAGCCACCCCGTGTCCCCCCCCATCGCAGCACCCGCTGTTATCCCCATCCCGACCCGTGCCGTGACTCGGGTAGGGAGGGGACCACCAACAGCCCCCTGCCCCCATCCCTGCGGTGCACCCTGGGGGCACAAAGGGGGCTTCACGCCCAGGCTGGGGGGCAGAAGGCACCTGCGCACCCACGGGGTGACCCCGGGGCCGGGCAGGAGGAAGAATTTGGCAACACCAGCACCAGGGGTGGGCGTTGGGCTGGGCTTTGACACGGCACCGAGGTTCTCAGCAGCACCGGGGGCCCTTGTGGGTTGTGGGGCCGCTGGAAAAAACCCTAAGCTGGCCCCAAACCTCGTCCCCAGCACCGTGCCACCCTGCTGCCCGCCCCGTGGCACGGGGTCTGTGCCGCCCTGGCCGTGCGCCCCGGTGCCGCGGCCCCAGCGGGTCCTGCATTCCTGCCCCTGTCCCACCCTGCAGCCCCCGCCTCCGGGCTGTCTGCTCCCCAGCCCAAAGCCTTCCAGCTGCAGCCCCGATCCTCCCCTTTCCTGGAAGGTTGCCGTTAACCCCTCCGGGCTCGCGGAGAGCTCTGGAAACATCCCCGTGCGCCCCATCCTGCTCCGTGCCCCCCGTGCACCCCAGCTCCATCCCTCTCCTGCTCCGCATCACCCCAAAGGGCACGGGGACGCTCAATGAGCACCCCGTGGGGCTCGCTAGGGTGATGCCATCTCCAAAAAGTGTCCCCAGGACAAATTTTGCTGCTTCATGGCACAGCAGCAGGCGGGCACGGCTGCCACAAGGCTGCAACACCGAACGCGGGGCAGAAATGCAGCTCCCGGCCCCGGGGGGCAAAACGGGGGCTGTGCACCATGGGGTCGGGGAGCGGGGTGGCGAGGGGCTGCGGAGAGCTCTTTAAATCCCCTCCCGGGCTCTCGGTGCTGCTTTCCAGATGTGCTTTTTTTTTTTTTTTTTTCTGGGGCAGGAAGGGGAGTGGAAGGATTGCAGGGGAAGAATTGCCTGGAGCCGGGGCCGGGTTAGGGTCACGCCGCGGCGCAGCGCAGCGGCGGGCGGGTGCTCCCCCACCCTAGGCTCAGCCCCTCGCCCCCTGCCCACCCACCCACCCGTGCTCTCCACTCCTTGTGCACGCCGCCTTCTTCTTCCTCCTGCCTGCACCCGGAGAGCCTCAGCATCACCGTTTTGGGGTGGGCTGGCAAGCTCCCTGCAGGCTCCCCCAGCCCCACAGAGCCCGTCCCACCCCATCCCACCCCATCCCACCCCGTCCCCCAGCCACGCCGGCCTCCCCTTGTCCCCGCAGCTCTTCCACCACATCGGCAACGCCGTGGCCAACCAGTTTTGGGCCGCCAACGTGCCCCCAGCGAGGCCATCGGCCCGGCAGCAGCAGCCAGGACCGGCGGCGCTTCCTCATCGCCAAGTACCGCGAGGGCAAGTACCGCCGCTACCACCCGCTTTTCGGCAACCAGGAGGAGCTCGACAGGGTCAGTGGTCCTGGGGACGGGTGTCGCCCCTTGGGGGGGGGTCCCAAAAAGCACAGGAGCGAGGTCTCCCCTCGTTCTCGGGGTGGGGATGTGGACTTTGTGGGCGGTGGGAATGGTTCCAGGTTGGGGACGCCCCGTTGGGGTGCTGGGGAGGGGGTTTTGGTCCTGGTTTGGAGGGGGGTGGGTGGTCTCCATCCCTGCCTCCCTCCCTGCCTGGATCAGCCCAGCCTCTAAGGGTCTCCCCGTGTCCCCCCCAGCCTTAGCCTGGGGTCTCCAGGAGGGATGGGAGCCCCGAGGGGACAGGGTGGCACCGCTACGGGGCACAGCCAGCTGGGATCGCAGCTCTGTTCCCAGCCTGGGCGAAGTACCCCCTTATTTTATCCCCAAAACTTTGGGATCCCTGGGTCCCACCGCAGCCCCATGCCCTGCCTGACCCTGGCACGATGGGTGCCCTGCTCCCAGCACCCTCCCCACAAACCTCCACCACCCCCTGACCCCAAAACCTCCCCAAGCACTGGGGTCAGGCGCTCCCAGCGGGGCACGACAATCCCACTGGTTCCCATCCCAGCTGCGAGCAGGACTGGGAGCGGGACAGCCTGGTGCCCCCGGTGCTGTGGCAGCCACCCCGGGGTGCTGCCTCCCCGTGCCTTGGGGCTGTGCAGCTCCCCTCGGTGCCGCGCCGCTGTTTGCACAAGAGCCGGGGGCGCGCCGTGCCGGCGGCCGCGGGAATTCGCATGTGGGCTTGTTTGTTTTTCTGCTCCAAGAGCCCGTCCCACCCCGCTGCCGGATGACTTCACCCCGGGCTCCTTAAGGGAGGGATTCGCCAGCTCCAAAACTTTCTCTCTCCCTCCTTTGTCCTGCCCCGGCGGCGGCGGGGAGGAACCCGGCCAAGCTCCCCGGCTCCTTCCCCTTGCTGCGTCCTCGCGGGGCTGGCTCCTCGCCGGGGGTCTCGCCCCCCACCCCTGGAGCCACACAGCCTCGAGGGCAGGCTCGGAGCTCACCCCCTGTCCCCCCTGCTCTGTCGCAGGGCCCTCTGTGCGGCCGTCACCACCAGCGACCTGGCCGAGACCCAGGCCCTGGTCTTCTGCGGGGCGGCGGTGACGTGCGCCACCGGGGACCCCCAGTGCCCTGTCCCCCTGGCGCTGGCTGAGAAGAGCGGGCAGAGGCTGCAGATGGAGTTCCTGCTGCACAACAAGACCTCGGGTAAGGGCTGTCCCCACCGCCGGGTGTCCCCTGGGTGTCCCTGTGTGTCCCCAGGTGTCCCTTGGGTATCCCCGGGGGTCCCTGGGTATCCCCGAGGGTCCCCTGGGGGTCTCCAGGTGTCCCCTGTCCTGGGGAGAGGCAGAGACTTTTGGGGCTGATCCTGGCTGTGCCACGGGGCGCTGCTGTGTGCAGAACAAGGCAGCCCTGTGTGACCCAGCCGGGCTCTGCTCGCGCCGGGTTCCAGCCCCAAACCAAAATACCAGAGCGGGACCGCAGGAGCCCTGCGATCCGCCCCGAATTCCTGAGCCCGCAGCCGCCTCCGGGCTCAGCTCAGCTCCTGCCACCCCGCAGCCTTGTTCTGCATTCCTGCTGCCCCCCAGCCCCTGATTTCTGCCCCTCTCTGGAATTTTTGCACCTTTGGGTTCGTCTGGCCCTGTTGGGAAAGCCCCAGAGGTGCCCAGGAGCTGGGTTGGGGCAGGAGGGGAGAGGCTGTGCCACGTCGGGCATTTTGGGGAGCCCTGGTGCTGCCCGGGAGGGAGCGGTGCTGGTGCTTGGGGACATCCCCACGAGCATCCCCACTGCGGGATGGACGCCTGGAGGTGCACGGGGAGCGAGCCCCAGACCCCAAACCAGGGCCGGGCCAGCGCCAGCGTGGGCTGCAGCCACCTCCTCCCTCCAAACCCTTCCCAAGTCTCCAGTCCCGTCCAAGCCCTTCCCGCTGAGCTGGAGCTGGCCCAGGAGGGGTCTGGCCTTGCGATTTTGGAGCTGTCAGCACAAAAAAGGGCTGGGAGAGCAGCTGCAGCGAGGCCCCCTCCGTGCGAAGCGGAGAAACCCGAGCCCCTGAGCTCATCCCGCGGTGCCCAGCGGCTCTGCGGCTGCACGGGGGCTCTGGCAGGGGAAACCCCCAGCCTCGGGGGGCATTTCACGGCCCCGTAGCCCCCCTCCCAGCCCCGTGCCAGGCTCTTCTCCCCCTCCGCAGAGACGCCACGCCTGGAGGTGGGGGGTGGCGAGGAGAAGCACTACTCGGTGCTGCTGCCCTGCGTCACGCACAACGGCTTCCTCTACAAAACCCCCTCCATGGCCAAGCCCGTCAACGAGAGGAAGGGCCAGGAAGGTACGCGGGGGCCCTCGGGGAGGGGGGGAAAAGGGGTGCGGGGGGTTGGAGAGCCCCAGCAGGGAGAGAGGGCGGAGGGGCTGCAGCATCCCCAGCTCCCCAGGGCAATGGTGAGACAGGCAGGGGTGCGGAGCGAGCCAGGCAGCCTGCTTTTGGAGAGGTTTTGGAGAGGTTTTGGAGAGGTTTTGGAGAGGTTTTGGGAGCGAGGGGCTGTGCCCTGAGCTGGTGGGCTGGTGGGTGGTCTCGGGTGGCTTTTGGTGGCCTTGGGGTGGTCTTGGGTGGCCCCAAGTGGCCGGAGCATGAGGGGCTGCTGAGCACCCCCCTGTGCCACGCAGAGTTCAGCCGGCGGTGGTGCACGCTGCACGACGGCGTCCTCAGCTACTACGAGAACGACCGCAACGCCGTGCCCAACGGCGAGATCAAGGCGGGGGACATCGTGTGCCTGGTGAACAACCCACCCCACACCCACGGGTAAGGCTGTCCCCAAATTCCCCCGTGTCCCCTCTGGTCCCCCTGTCCCCTCCGGGCCCCCCTGTCCCCTCTCCACGGAGCTGCTGCCCGGCCCCGATGGCACTGAGCTGCCCATTTTGCAAGGAGCCTGTTTAATATTTTATTCTTTTCAAGCTTTTTGCTAACATCTTGGGTCTCTGGCAGAGTGTGCAAAGCACTCGGGAGCCCTGGGGATGTGCTGGGGGGTCCCCAGTCAGCGGGACCATCGGTGGGGCTGAGCCCCTCTCCGCTCGTGCCGCGGATGCTCCCCGGGCACTGAGGTTCCTCGAAATTCTCTTCCTGCAGGATCGAGAGCACTTTTGAGGTGTACATCGAGTCGGAGAGGCTCTACCTCTTCGGGCTGGACTGCCCCGAGGCCGCTCGGGAATGGCTCAAGTCCATCGCCAAGGTGGGCACTGGGGACCTGGGGCCGGCGTGGGGGCCGGGGGCTGCGCGCTGACATCCCTCCCGTGCCCCCTCCCCAGTCCTTCGTCCCTCCCCACGCAGAGGAGCTGCTGAGCCACGATTTCGAGAGGATCGGCCGCCTGCTCTACAAGGGGGGGCTCAACCTGGAGCGTGCCAAGGAGGGCTGGTTCGCCCTGGCCGGCTCCACGCTCTACGTCTGCTTCGAGGACAGCGAGCGCCACGAGGCTCTCCAGCTGCGCAAGCTGCAGGAGCTCTGTAGGTGCCCCGTGCCCCCCCCGTGGGACCCACGGTCAGGCTGGAAGGGGGTCCTGGGGGGGACAGACCCTGTCCCAAGCTGCTGTGGGGTTATCCAGCCCGGTGGCAGCCAGCAGGGTGCTCGTGGTGGGGGTCTGGTGGGTGCCGCTGCCACGTCCTGGGAGCTCGGGGACCCTCTTTTGGGCAGGGTGCTTCCCCTGGCAGCTCTTCCTCCTCTCCATCCTCTTCCTCCTTGCTGCTCCCCCAGCCTGGGCTGGAGCTGGGCGGCTCCTGACGGGCTCCTGCCTTCCCTTCGCAGCCATCCAGGGAGACAACGAGGTGCTGGTGCTGGTGGAGAGGCGGAGGTAAACGCGGAGCTGGTGGCGCAGCCCGGCTGGAGGGTGGGTGGGGATCAGCCCCCCTCCAGCAAAATATCTCCCCCTGCCCAAGCCCACCCTGCTCCTGGGATGCCTTCACCCTCGGGGGAGCCCAGATTGGGGTCCGGGACCGTGCTTGTGGGTTTGGGAAGGGGGCATCTGGGCCCCCAGCTGAGCTCCGCGGCCGCCGGCAGGACGCTGTACATCCAGGGCGAGCGGAGGCTGGATTTCCTGGGCTGGGTGCACGCCATCCAGAAGGCTGCGGGCAGCTCGGGGGACACCTTGTCGGAGCAGCAGCTGACCGAGGGGGACGTCCCCATGCTGGTGGACCGCTGCATCGACTACATCACGCAGTGCGGTACGCGCCCTCGCTGGACGGGGACGGTTTGGGTCACCCCATCAACGTGCCGTGGCAAGGGGCAGCCCCAGACCCTTTTTCCTCCCTCCCCAAGCATCTCCTCCGGCTTCTTGGGAGGCTGGAGCGGGGCTTGGCTCCTGCCCACGGCTCCTCGGTGGCCTGGGGAGCACCTGCAGGGTGGGGAGCACCGCGTCCCCCCCTCGGGGACCCTTTGATGAGCGAGCCAGCGCGGGGTGGGTGGTGGCCAAACCGCGGCGCTCCCAGGGGCTCAGCGCTGGTGGTGGCTCCGCTCTGCCCCAGGGCTGACGTCCGAGGGGATTTACCGCAAGAGCGGGCAGAACTCGAAGACCACCAGCCTGCTGGAGATGCTGCGCCGCGACGCCCGCAGCGTGCGCCTGAAGGAGGGCGAGCACCACGTGGACGACGTCGCCAACACCCTCAAGCGCTTCTTCCGCGACCTGGGCGACGGCTCTTCACCCGACGCTGGAGCCAAGGACTGGCTGCGGGCCACGGGTGAGGGCGAGGGCCACGGGGAGGGCGGGGAGGGGGCGTCCCGGTGCCGAAAAGCTGAGCCTGGCCCCCTCCCTGCTCGCTCCTCTCGTTGCGCATCTGGGGTCCAGATGTTTCCCTTGGCCGGCACGGTGGCCGTGAGTCAGAGCCGCCGGCGCCGAGCCCGGGGTGGGGAGAGGAATGCGCCCGCCGTCCCCGCACCCAGGTGTGGCTAGGGGGGGGCTGGCCCTTTGCTCCTGGATCCGGCCCCCCAGCACCAGGGTTGGAAGCACCCGGGTGCCAAACAGCCAAAAAATCTGGGGTGCGGGGTGCGCCAGCCCCAACAGCTCGGTGATGGGGTGGGAGGCTCCGAGGTGGGGTCTGGGTACAGGATAGGGTGGGTGGGGGTCCTCGTCCTGGTTTCACGCCCCTTCATGCTTGCATTTTTCCCCCTCGCAGCGCTGGAGGATGAGGAGGCGAAGATCGGGGAGTACTGGCGGCTCCTGGAGACCCTCCCCACGGTGAACAGGGCCACGCTGAAGGCGCTCATCAACCACCTCTTTCGGTACGTTGAGGGTCCCCAACGCCCCGTGGGGCATCGCCCCATTTTCTGTGGGGTTCTTTGGGGGTGTGGGGTGCAGGAGAGCCTTCATATCCCTCCTCCTCTTCATCCCGAGCAAGAGATGGATGAGGATTTGGGGAGTAGAGGGTGCCCCAAGCTGAGCACCACATCCTGGATGGGGGTCCCGGGGGGTGGCACGGGGCAGGAATCATCATGGGGTGCCCCGCAGGGTGCAGCGCTTCTCGGGGGACAACCAGATGAACACGCACAACCTGGCCATCGTCTTCGGGCCCACGCTCTTCCAGACGGACGGCAAGGACTACAAGGCGGGCCGGGTGGTGGAGGACCTCATCAGCCACTACGTCAAGATTTTCAATGTAAGGTTTGGATGCATAAAACTCGAACCCAAAAAAGCTCTGCCCTCGGGTGGGGGCTGCTGCAGGACCCCGGCACCCGCCCGTGCCGACGCACGGGTGGCTCCCCAAGGGATGGGGGCGGCGGGAGGGAGGCGGTCCCTGCTCTTCCCAAAAATTCTCCTTATTTTGGAGGCACACGGCATGGGGGCTGCATCCCCGTGACCCCCCGGGTTCCCCTCCTTGGTAGGTCAACGACCAAGAGATGAAGAAGCAGCAGGACGAGATCACGGCCATCATGAAGATGCGGGAGGCAGCGTCCAGCGGCACGCAGGTGGGGACCTGCAGCAGCACATGGGGGGCACATGGGGGGGGGATAAATCCCGTGCGTGGGGAGCTGTGGGTGAGAGGAATTTCCCCCTGCCCTGCAGCAAGCCGGGGATTTCATCTGCACGGTGTACCTGGAGGAAAAGAGGACGGAGACGGAGCAGCACGTCAAGGTGAGGGGGGCTGGGGGAGGGCGCAGCAGGGACGGGGACCCCCGTTGTGTGCCCAAAATTTGGCTCTGAGCCGGGGGAGGGTGGCACGGCACGGGGACAGGGCTGGCAGTGGGTGACAGAGACGTGTCCCCTGCAGATCCCGGCCACGATGACGGCCGAGGAGCTCACCTTTGAGATCCTGGACCGGAGGAAAATTGTCACAAAGGAGAAGGACTACTGGAGCTGCTTCGAAGTGAACGAGAGGGAGGAGGCGGGTCGGTGTGGGATGGGATGGGATGGGATGGGATGGGGATGGGATGGTGGATGGGATGGGGATGGGATGGGAGGGGATGGGATGGGGATGGGGATGGGGATGGG